GAAGAGTCAACGTATGTGTAATTGATAAAAATGGAGTGGAAGAAAAATTAAATATCGAACATCCAAATGATAGAAAATTCAAGAATCCAGACTTCAAAGGATTCCCTAAGAAGCTTGAAATTCTCAAGAAAACAGTTATTCCTATTGAACATGAAGAAGAAGATTTTAAAGATCAGAAACAAATGGAGTTAGAATAATTTCACTTTTTTAATTACACAACTCTTCTTTCATATTTATGACAAAATGATTTTACGAAACAAACTTGAGATATAGAGAAATATTACCATAGAAAAAGTAATAAGTTAACCAAAATTTATTTTTTGGTTTCTTTTCTTTACCAAGATTTCTCAAATATAATAATAAAGAATTATTCAAAACAATAATTTATAATAACTTTTGAACAGTAATAAGAAGAGACAAAGAAACAATAACGAAAATAACAAGGAATAGAAAAAACTATTTTTAGAGGTAGAAGTTCGTGAAGAACTTACAATTCAGATTGAGATGAGTTTTGCAGAGAATCTTATTGATGGACTTGATATTGTTTATAAACATTCACAAAACAATACTAAGGCATTTGGAGATTTTAAAGACTTTTTAGTAAAAATGGCTAACGTTCGTAAGGATTACGCTAAAAGTATGCTTCGTATGGTTCAAGAATTTAGACAAAAACGAATTTGTGGTCAATCAACACTTTATTATGGTACCGTTAAAGACGCACTAGAAACTTACTTAAATGCTCTTGAAGAAGATATAAACAAAGACACTGCTATCACTAACGTACTTTCTACTTCAGCAAAAGTATTCGAAAATGATATTAAAGAACTCGAAAAACAATCAAAGGGTTTGATTTCTGATGGAAACAAAATGACAAAAGCTATTGAATCTCAAAAAGATCTTTTGAAAAAAGAAAAGGAAAAATTCATTAAATTATATAAAGAGGCTGAAAGTGCTACTGCTGCTGTTGAAAAGGCTGCCCAAGACCCTTCTACTAAACCCAATAAAACTCAACAATTAACTTCTAAAAAAGAAACTGCTATTCAAAAGGCTAAAGAAGCTGATTCAAATTATCGTGCTTGTGTACAACTTACAAACGATAGAGTCCATGATTATTATACCTCTCAACAACCAAATCTTCTTTCACAATTCCAAGCTTTTGAAGAAACATGTATTAATACATTAAAAGATTTGTTAAATAAATTTGGATTAGCATACACAGCTCTTCCTGATGCTGCTAATAAATTTGTAGACTTCACTAGAAGTAAGTTTGATGCTATTGATGCTGATGCTGATATTAATACATTTGCTACTACAAAAGCAACAAATGGTCATATGCCTGACGACATCCCAATAGAAGATGCCAATGGAAATGTTTTATTTGAAGGAGCCAGTAATTCAGGAACAACTCAAACATATACTACCCAAAATACTCAGTTTACTTCATCTGCAACTGAGACAACTACAACAAATGCTGAAGACAATTCTCAACCAGCCCAAGATGGATTAGAAAAATGTAATATTCATGTTAAAGCATTATATGACTACACCGCAGAAGCAGAAAGTGAGTTAACTATCACTGAGGGAGAGACATTAGTCATCACTGAGAAACATTCTTCTGGATGGTGGTTTGCTACAAATAGTCAAGGACAATCAGGGTTTGTTCCTGAAAATTTTGTGGAAGTTATTTAAAGTTAATACTGACTTTGAGAAGTGCTTGTTTTTAGTTGTTTTTCACTAATATTGTTAATATTTTTTTAAAAACATATTGTATTAGTTTAATAATTCTAAATTTTGTAAGTTATTTACTATTCAGGTTCAAATAAGTTGAATAGAAAATATTTTTCTTCAACACCAGTCATTACATTATATCTAGACGTTTACATTGAAAGGACATAATCAAAATTAGTGCATAAAGTATTTTTCCATACCTGCTTGTAATATACGAGAAAAAGATTAACTTTTTTCTGTACTGAAACAAATTCTAAACAAATCAAGGAGATATCCAGGGGTTAGAGAGATGAATAGAAGAAGGGATTATAATGGCATGACCTATTTTTTTAAACTAGTTGATTGTTTTTATTAAGAATGGTTGTTGGTTGAATTTCATTTTATTCTCATATGGAAAGAAATTAAAGTCATGAGCACAAAATGAATTGGTATGTAGTTAGTTGATTAAATGAATTATAATTGTTTTGTTAATACGGTTAATGTTTTATTTTGTTAAGTTGTTTTATTGGTTTATTGTATTAAAGAACAGTGAATATTCAAAGACATAAAACAGATGATAAAAACTATTTATGACTAATTCATTGGTCATTAGAATTACATACTGGAATTCATCTTGTTGGTAATGTTTATTCAATTAAAATACATTTTTACTAATATTATTATGTTCAATCTATATTTCTCATTTAAAGATAATCCATGATGAAACATTTATTAATAAAAATCATTGTATAATCTAATTTAGTGTTGTATAATAACAAATCATTAATTCACTATGAAGAGAATAATAATCATTATGTTAATTTAATAAGATAGTTCTGAATCATAAAATAAATACTCAAATTAGATAAAGAAAAAATGAGATATTGAAAAAAATTGAATAAAGTTTGAACAAAATAAATAAAACACAAATGAGAAATAATTAATGATAAAAGATGTTGATAAAATGAATAATTGAATGAAGTTGTAAGTAATATGAAATACATTTATAAACAAGAAAGAATATAGAATTAAATATTGATATGGTAATAACAAAATAATGAAATGAATAAAACATAAAATAAATATAAGAAGATACTAAAGATGTACTTTAAATCTGTAAACAAAACAAAATGATTCAAATAAATAAAAAGAAAATGAATATACATCAAATATTAAATTATAATAAATAACACAAATAACAAAAGATAAAGAACAGAAGACTATCTAGAATAGAATAAGAAATGATTTGAAATCAAAAAGGATAGAATCTAACCAAGATATACTAAAATTCAATAAAAATTCACAAAAAGCAATTAACTAAGTACTAAAAGAATAATTTCTATTATTTCTCACTCAGAGAAGATTAATCACATCACTTTTTCTTCATGTAATTCAACAACATATGATTGGTTTTTGTAGAATTAATGTTCCATGACATCAATCATAATCTTAATTACAAAGTTTTTAACTTCTTTTATGATGATAATTTCAATTTTAATTATTTAATTAATTTAATACTTTCTAATTTACTATTTAATTTATTGAAATTACTACTGTATTTATTTTGATATCTTTTAATTTCTCTATTTTAATTATCATAATCTTCATTTCTTTATACTTATTTCTTTTATTTAAATATACTCTATTATTATTGTGATCTACAACAATAGTAATCAATTAATAGATCAATTTTATTCTTTTTATTTATAACATACATATCTAATATTTTATGATATTGCATCACTTTTTAATATTATTTGTTTATTCAATATCGTAATAATGTATTTATATTGGAACACTGTTTCATATGTTGATTTCTTATATTGTTTGTTTCATGTGTATTTTCTTATTAACCCTTCCCATATGATAATGTCAATATGGTCATGTTTCTCTATTTTTGATTTTTTATGACAAATACAAGATAGTAGAATATATTCTATTGTTGATGTCTTGTATTTACAAAGTGTTGAGTATTTTATTCATTTTTTAATATTTTATCTTTTCTATACATATTGAATATTACTCTATATTGTATTTTATTTAATTGGAGAAATTTAATCTTCTTAGTGTTGATAGACTTCAATGTATTGATTATAGTAGTTTTATCTATAAATTTTGATTCAATCAATATTCTAAAATATCCATTTATTTGATTTCAATTTATTGATGTATTTGTTTGTTATTATCTTATTTATTTTTATTATTATTTCTTTTTATTTTCAATCATTTCATTTATTATTTATTTTATTTCTATTTCTTTGATTTTATGTTTTATTATTTTTTATTTATATTCATTATTCATTTCTGAATATCATCTATCTAATATGTTATTTATTATTTCATTATTGTACAATAATACATTATCGTTCTAATTATTTCATTGATATATTTATTATTCATATTTATTATTCATTATTTCAATTTATATTGATATATAGATTGTATTTAGAATTATCAACACTAATATATTTTATATTTATTATTTATTTTATTATCTCAATTTCAATTCTATTTAAGTTACATTCCATTTTACTACTGATAATGAATATCTTCAGATATTAATTAATTCATTATTAATTATTGTAATATATATTCTGTTACTACTTTCATCACAATTTATTTCATCTATTTTATTCATCATCTTTTATTTGATGATTTTATAATTGAATATATTATTAATTTCATCTGATTAT